ATTGTATCTCTTCTATGGCTAAGTAATGTTCCATTGTATATAGATCCTACATCTTTTTTTTTAATCCATCCATTGATGGATACTGTGGTTGTTTCCATATCTTGGCTATTGTAAATAATGCTGCTATAAACATAGGGGTTGGTATATTAACAAAGGAGGCAAGAATATACAGTGGGGGGGAAATCACCTCTTTAATACATGGGACTAGGAAAACTGGACCACTTTCCTACACCATACACAAAAATAAACAAAATGGATTAAAGACCTAAAAGTGAGACCTGAAACCATAAAACTTCTAGAAGAAAACCTAGACCATAATCTTTGACATCAGCCATAGCAACATTTTTCTAGGTAAATCTTCAAGAGAGCTACAAACAAAAATCAACTCTTGGGACCACACCAAAATAAAAAGTTTATGTGTAGCAAAGGAAACCATCAACCTGGAAAAGGCAACCTACTCAATGGGAGAAGATACTTGCAAATGATATATAAAGCTTAATATCTAAATATATAAACTATATTCAACACCCTAAAAATTTTTGATTTAAAAAGTGGACCAAGGACTAGAACATTTTACAAAGAAGACATACAGATGGCCAACGGACACATGAAAAACTGCTCAACATCCCTAATCATCAGGGAAATGTGAATCAAAACCATAATGAGATATCACCTCACACCTGTCAATGACTAGACTAGAAGACCTATAAGAACAAGTGTTGGTGAGGATGAGGAGAAAAAGGAACCCTCTGCACTGTTACTGGGAGTGCAAACTGCTGCAGCCACTGTGGAAAACGGTATGGAGGGTCCTCAAAATTTAAAAATAGAAATACCATAAGATCCAGTATTCCCACTACTTACCAAGGAAAACAAAAACACTAATTCAAAAAGATCTATACACCCCTATGTTTATTACAGCATTATTTACAATAGCCGAGATTTGGAAGCTTCCCTCTAGTTGTTAGCAGATGATTTTGCTTTCTACAGAAAAGCGTTTTATTCCACTAGTTTTCTGAGACCTTTTAGGTACAGAAAGTTGAATAAGGGGTTAATGGCGGGGGTCTGGAACACCCAGTTAGGAGAGTACAGAAATTACGATCAGTAATCAAAGGGTATTCACTCCTCCGGGCAGAAGAAGCACCCTCTGCCTTCAGCAGTTCCCTGTGCGCCCTGCGGGGCCCACCACACTGGCTCAGAGGCGCCACCGAGTGCCCTGGAAAGCGCCTCCTGCCGGTACGCCGGGTGCCGTCCCGAGAGCGGCAGATGACCGGAAATGGAGCCTGCGCGGGCCTGCTGCTAAGCAACGGGGACGCTAGACCGCCCGGGCGCTGTGGGAGCAGAGGCTGCCGGCGGGTTCCCTGGACGCCACTTCTCTTGTCTGAGGGGCGCCGCACAGGAGTTATCAAGAAGCCGCCAGGTGACTCAAGCGCGTCCTCCCAGCCATGAGCAGCGAGCAGGTGAGAGGGTGGCCAGGCTGGCCCCGCACCAGACTTCCTTCCAATTTCAGAAGTGATTGAAGCCTGGTCCTCCAGACTCCCCAGTTGTGATCCTGTGGGGACACAGCTTCTTTCACCCCGGTTACATCTGGGATACTGATCGCTTTCTGTGAAAACTTCAAAAATGTTTCCTTCTCAACCGTTCGTCCTTGATGTTGTCATAACAACCAACCATTTCAGCCGAGCGAGCGGTGCGCTGGCAGTTAGAACTACAGCCCGAGTGTCCCTAGTGTGCTAATGGTGGGTGTGTTTGGGTGGGCGGAAACTCGGTGGGGGGGGTTGCAGTGGGTTTAGGCTCTCTAGAGATGGGATTCAAGCCCTTTCCTAGCTGTGAGACTTCGGGCAAATCACTTCATCTTCGTAAGCCTTCTCTCCCTTCTATGCAAGGGGGCGGGGAATCAGAACATCTCCTTTCTTAAGGTTGTGAAGTTCAAATAAGATAACACACCCTATGCGAAAGGGTTTGGTAAGTGGCAAATGGAATTTCTTAAGAAAATATCCCCATGACAGGTAATAAAAGATGCATGTTGTAATACCTACTTTTCAGAACTTTCTTCATTGAACTTAAGAGCATTATAAGCAAAAGAAATGCAGAACAGTGGCCAAACTTTTTAATGCCAGAACAGAATGGGAAGGCATTAAGCATGGGCATGATTCTGGCTAGTGAGAAAACAACTCTAACTCTATTGATGAATATGGAAAAGGCCCCTTAAGCATCCCGGTACTGAATGGAGAACAGTTGCTTTTAAGCCTGCATATTTTGCTTAGCTTCTTTGTTTTAACACTAAACTGTAATTCTTTCCTTTTCAATACTTCATTTTTTTTTTTGGAGTGTTTATTGAGGAAATGATAAAAGGTAATTTATTCTTATATCCCTTGGGTCATAGATTAACAAAATGTCAATCTTAATTCCTTAATCAAATAATGCCTAAATGATCAAGAAACCCTAGTTTTAACATTTTATTGAACTGTGTAATAAATTGAACTAAGAAACACTGATTCATTTACCATATAATTAATTAGTGGTAAAATAACAAATGAACAAACAAAAACCAACCAAAAAATGATATCGTAACCAAAAAACTGAGCAGTTAAATTAGTGGACTGTACTAGTGATTGTTTTTTATGTAATACTATAATCAAAGTCCTTCTAAAAACATTTGTTATCACCATCAATATGCATTAAGCAACTTATTTGCTTGATGCTCTTATCAGTCTTTGGCCTGGTCTGAGCTGCAGCCTGGGTTCTTGAAATTTAAAATACCTGTTTACCATACTTGCAATGGTATTTCTGAATTGCTATTATTGTCCAAAGCCCTCAGGTGACCAATTTTCGACTAAAAAGCATCTGCTAAAAAACCTATTGGCAGTTAGGTTTTAAGTTTTGCTTTATCTTAAAAAAAAAATGTTTGGAAATGACACCCCTCATCCCTTCCCCACTGTTCGCTAAAGAGACCTGTATTATTGAAGAGGCATTATTGGGATCTTGAAAGAATGTCGAATGAGCCCATCTAGGATTATTTCAATGGTTTAAACACCATTTTTAAACAGCAGAGGTCCCTCTCTCACTGCTTTGGTTGATCGGTAATTTTAAAACTTGGTACTCTCATTTATGCTAATTTCAAGTGTCGTTTTCCTTTTGAAAGGATGAAAGCTTTTATATTTTAACCTAAAACAAATGGAATGGATTAAACTTTTGGAAATGCCATTCTTATGTGACATTTACTTATGTATTCATTTAGTTTGAAAAAGTGAGCAGGTGGTAAATCATATTTGCTGAAGGAGATTTTAACATATTCATCTCATTAGTGGAAGTTGGAGAGTGACATGGCATTTTTCAGGAATAGCAGTCTGAGTTCTTAAGTTAGGTATTTAAAACAAAGATAAATCTCTTGCAACTGCTCATTTCATTTTTAAAATTAAAGAAAGTAAGGCATTTGAGCTTCATCGAAGAACTTCCAGGCATTTAAAGATAAAAAATAGGCAAAGACCATGAAGTGCCCAACAAATCCACCACATACTGTGGGCAGGTGAGGAGGAAAAAGCTGTCAGCCCATCTCTACCTTAGTGCTTTTTCTAACTGTTAAATCAACTGTGATTTTGCATTTATATGATGCTTATTCAGTTTTCCTAAATATCTTCTTGATGCCCTTGTTTAAAAAGGAGGTCAGAGTAAAAAACAGTTCAGTCTGAAGCCCACACCTCCTTGGTGATGACTTTAACAACCATAATGCCAATATGACCGTTATGTTAAATCAACCCTGTTAAATTTGGAGAGGTTATTGTTTTAACCAGACAAGTTCATAAAATGGCTGATTTAACCAGACATATTTACAGATTCTGGTCTTATGATCAGAATGGTTAAGCTTAGATTATTACCAGTTTTACGATGTCCCTTCCAATAGACAAGTAGTTGAAAATGAGCCAAATAAAAACTAAATGCAAAGCCAGAGTGCGTCAAGAAGACTCCTTAACAATTTTAATTTTAATAATGTAAAGTTATATTAATCAAGATCCCAACAGAAAACAGATGACATGCTTAAAGGGATTTAATTGAAGAAAACTTAGACCATTTGCATTCGTGTGGGTCAGGTTAATGGAAAGAGCCAACGAGGATGAGGAGGCACTTAAGGATTAATAGCAAAAGGAAGTCATTACTGACCTAGGAAAGAATTTAGGGTTTGAAGCCGATGGTCAAGAAAGAATTCTTGAGACGTCTTTGGTGCAAAAAGGTGATTTTATTAAAGCACGGAGACAGGACCCGTGGGCAGTAAGAGCTGCACTGGGGTCATGAGGAGTGGCCCATTATATACTTTCAAGTTTGGAGGGGGTTAGGGATAGCATAAGCCTCCCAGGCACTGGGGAAACAAGGTTTCCAGGATCCTGAGGGGGCTAGCTATTGTTAGGAAAGGTCATTTATTACTGTAAAAACGCAGTCATGAGACCCTTCAGATGTATATCGGTGGGTCATATACTTGGGAATGATTGCCAACATGTATCTTGTGGGGGGGGCGGGTAGAGATGAAGTTTCCAAAGGAATTTTTATATGTTAAAGTAGATTTACAGGATCCTGGGGGTGGGGTTAAGATTGCCTTTTGCCCTTAGAAGAGTATCAGCGTGGAGGCAGTTGAGTCCTTAGAAGAATGTCACTCTGCCTTTTTCAAGGACTTGTCAAGGGGCTGTAGGTAGTAAGGAAATGTAATAATTTTTCTTCTGCCTTTGTTTCCCACATCAATTACCATTCCTAGACTTGACAGGTCACTACATTACCAAAACCTGGTGAGAGATGGGGGGTTTGGAATGGTAGCTTCCTGACCGGAGCTGAGCTCTAGAAGAATACAGATACTAGCAGAACTATGGGAAACAGGGAGTAATAGGAAAGAACTATCTAAAACTCTCTCCCCTCCTGCTCTCTAGTCTCCTACCGGTGCCTCTCATTGCTTGGATATTAACCCACCAGAAGCCAGAAGGCTGGGAGTCCCAGCTGAAGCCCACCCGTAAAGAGAATTTAGCCTTCCAGGCACAGAGCAAGAAAAAAACGCAAACAAAGCCTAACCATCACAGCAATTATAAGTAGATGTTGCTTTCAGAGACCTTTCCATATTGACAAAGCAGTTGGGATAAAATGTTTAAGTCTGTTGTTCAGATGCCATGATTCATTTTCTCATTCAAAATCTTTATACCTAAGAATAAATCTAACAAAGATATATAAGACCCTTATGAAGAATGTTATGAAATGTTTTTGAAGGATACACTTAGAATCTGAATGAATAAATATTCATGAAAAAGAGTCAATATCATAATTGTCAGTTTCCTCCAAGTTATTCTAGAAATTCAATGTATTTTTATCAAAATCCCTGAAAGTTTTATACAACATGGATTCTAAAATTCACCTGGTAGAAAAAAGGTCCAGATTGTCTATGATAAATTTTTTTATTGAGGTGTAGTTGACATACAATGTTATATTAGATTTGGGTGTACAACATAGAAATTCGACAAGTTTATATGTTATGCTTACCACAAGCGTAGCTACCATCTGTCACCATAAAATGCTACTACTATACCATTGACTATATTCCCTATGATGTACTTTTTATTCTCATAACTTTATCACATAACTGGAAGCCTGTATGTCCCACTCCCCTTCACCCATTTTCCCCTCACTCCATCCTCCTCCCCTCCGGCAACCATCAATTCTCTGTATTTATGGGTCTGTTTCTGCTTTTTGTTCATTCATTTCTTTTTTTTTTTAGATTTCATGTATAAGTGAAATCTGTGGTATTTGTCCTTGTCTAACTTATTCCACTTAGCATAATATTCTTTATGTCCATCCATGATGTTGCAAATGGCAAGGTCTCCTTTTTTAATGACCAAGTTATATTCCATCGTGTGTGTGTTTGTCTATGTATACTACATCTTTATCCACTCATAAACAGATGGACACTCGGGTTGCTTCCAAATCTTGGCTCTTATAAATAATGCTGCAATAAACATAGGGGTCCATATATCTTTTTAAATCAGTGTTTTCATTTTCTTTGGGTAAATACACAGTAGCAGAATTGCTAGATCGTAATAGATTTGATTTTTTTGAGGAACCTCCATACTGTTTTCTATAGTGGCTATGCCAATTTACATTCCATCAACAATGCACGAGTGTTCCTTTTTCTCCACATCTTTACCAACTCTTACTTTTTGTCTTTTTGATTCTAGCCATTCTGACAGGTGTGAGGTGATATCTCATTGTGGTTTTGAGGTGAATTTCCTTGATGATTAAGGATGATTAGAGATGTTGAACACTTTGTATTTGTCATCTGTAAATCATCTTTGGCAAAGTGTCTATTCAGGTCCTCTTTTTTTAAAATTGGATTGTGTGTGTGTGTGTGTGTGTGTGTGTTGAGTTGTAGAAGTTCTTTATATATTTTGGATATTAACCCCTTATTGGATAAATCATTTGCAAAGAT